AGAGGCGGGGCCAGGAGCTTGGACTCGACCCCTGCAACCTCAACTAGGTGAGTACAACTAGGTGAGTACACACACACACACACAGAAACCTTACCTAACCTCCCTTAAACTGACATAATTTATCCAGCTAAATTCTGCCATATATCTATATACCATACATGTATACCATAGGTTAATTTAAAATTATTTACCATTATTTAAAATCAATGATATATATATTTTTTCGTACTACTCAGATCGATTTTCGCTGACTGGTGGCAAAAATAAATTTTTATTCGGCTTATTCGGCAATGTGAACTCTTGCCAAATAGGCCAAAGTGGACGATTCTGTTTATTAGGCACGACATGTATGTAGGTGTACTTACCTATTTGTGGTTGCAGGGGTTGATTCACAGCTCCTGGCGTGGGTAAGTTAATGTTATTTGTTGAGAATTTATTTTAATTCCTAATTCAGGGTAGTGGTGAGCAGATTATATTCAGCCTTAATGACCCTCCTGCAACCGATAGGCTTTCAACCCCTTTAACGTAGCTCAGTGATATAGCCTACCTGTCAGTCATATAGCCTACCTGTCATATAGCCTACCTGTCATATAGCCTACCTGTCAACCGAAAGAACCTAGACTCGATTCCAGGACTTGACGAATAGTATGGCAAGTTCCTGTATCTGCTGCCCACATTTACTGAGTAGTTAACAGGTACTTAAGTATAAGTCGACTGTTATAGGTCGAAATAAGTTGAAATAATCTATACTAGGCTATGTCTGACTATGTAGGTAAGTGACATTGGATTATGTAGGTAAATAACATTATTCCCCACCAATATTGACAGGTCAGTCAGCTATGTCACCTCTTTCGACATCTTACTACTATTTTATCCTAACCTTCCCATAATTTCAATCTCTCCCCTCATCCCGCTTTGTCATAACTCTTATAATGACGAAATCAAAAAGAAAAAAGACTTCCTCCAGTGTTAACTACGTCAGGCTGGAGGTGCCTTTTTCAGTATCGAGTGTTGAGATGAAGACTAATTAAGTATTGATTAGTCAGTGTTTGCCTAGTATTACGTCTGCCATTGACCAGTGATGGAGTATGATCAGAATCATAGTTTTCCAGCCATGACCTACAGAATACTAGTGTAGAGTGACTGTACCTCTCAAAGGAGGTGCCTCACTACCAGCTTCGTCAGTGGCAACCGGGTTCTTGATTCAAGGAATTGGACCTGTCCTCGTTCTTGGATTGAACCTGAGTATCTCCTATTCCCTAGGCTCTTTTGATCCATACCAGTATAGTGATTCCCCATACTACTACTACTATTAATAATAGTAATAATAATAAATAAATAATAATAATTTAACAAAAATATAGAGATAGGGAGCAAATCAACATACTAGTATACCAAGCTTTATACTTAATATATAAGTACGATATAGCATTGAACACACTTAAGATATACCTGGAGGGTGTTGTGGGGTCGACGCCCCGGTCCATGACCAGGCCTTGTGGTGGATCAGCGCCTAATAACCAGGTTGTTACTTCTGGCTGCACTCAACCGATGTACGAACCACAGCCCGGCTGATCAGGTACTGACTTTAGGTATCTTTCCAGCTACCTCTTGAAGACAACCAGGAGTCTATTGGTAACCCCCCCCCCTTACGTATGTTGGGAGGCAGTTGAACAGTCTTGGACCCCTGACACTTACTGTGTTGTCTCTTAGCGTACTCATGACGCCCTTGCTTTTCATTGGGATGTTATACCACCTGCCAAGTCTTTTATTTTCATAGGGAGTATTTCATAGGGAATATTTATGTGTGCAGATTTGGGACTAACCCCTCTAAGATTTTCTAAGTGTATATTATCATGTATCTTTCTCGCCTGCGTTCCAAAGAGTACAGGTCAAGGAACGTCAACCCTTCCTGGTAATTTAGATACTTTATTGTACTAATACATGCAGTGAAAATTCTCTGTATATTCTCCAGGTTTGCAATTTCGCCTGCCTTAAGTGGGGCGGTTAGTGTACAACAATATTCCAGCCTAGAGAGAACGAACATCCCTAGTTTTGAAGGTTTTTATCATTCATCCTTTCATTTTTCACCATTTTCAATAAATTACCTAAATTATTTAGATAATCTTGAGGAAATTAAAAATGTATCAGGGTATACGACAAATTCTAATCATACAATAGAGCGAAAAAGAAATGTGAAGGACCTAGGAGTGATAATGTCAGAGGATCTCGCCTTCAAAGACCACAAAAATGTATCTACCTCATCTGCCAGGAAAATGATAGGATGGATAATGAGAACCTTCAAAACTCGGGATGCTAAGCCCATGATGATTCTTTTCAAATCGTTTGTGCTCTCTAGGCTGGAATACTGCTGTACACTAACGGCCCCCTTCAAGGCTGGCGACATTGCAGACCTGGAGAGCATACGAAGAACTTTCACGGTGGCTAACGCTCTCGCTTCACACGGCGAGGGCCTGGGTTCGATTCCCAGCCAGAGTAGAAACATTGGACGTGTTTCTTTCCACCTGTTGTCTATGTTCCCCATCAGTAAAATGGGTACCTGGGTGTTAGTCGACTGGTGTGGGTCGCATCCTGGGACACTGACCTAATTTGCCCGAAATGCGGAGCATAACAAGGGAGTTTCTATATAGTAGTATGTCATTGTTGTCAGCTAGGACTGTATACCTTGTACATGTACTTGTAGTAAATAAAGATATTATTATTATTATAAGGCACCTAAATTACTGGGAACGGTTGAAGGTCCTTGATCTGTATTCCCTGGAACGCAGCGAGAGAGATACATGATAATATACACTTGGAAGGTCCTGGAGGGATTGGTACCAAACCTGCACACGAAAATCACTCCCTATGAAAGCAAAAGACTCGGTAGGAGATGTAACATTCTCCCGATGAAAAGCAGGGGGCGCCACGAGTACATTGAGAGACAATACAATAAGTGTCAGGGCCCCCGACTGTTCAATTGCTTCCCTGCATACATAAGGGGGATTACCAATAGACCCCTGGCTGTCTTCAAGAAGGCACTGGACTGGCACCTAAAGTCAGTACCTGACCAACCGGGCTGTGGTTCGTACGTCAGTTTCCGTGCGGCCAGCAGTAACAGCCTTGTTGATCAGGCCCTGATCCACCGTGAAGCCTGGTCTCGGACCGGGCCGCGGGGGCGTTGACCCCCGGAACCCTCTTCAGGTAAACTCCAGGTAATCCAGCTACGCACAGTTTTACTGCAAACAGATCAACAATGAACACTTCCAGTGACACTTCCTTAGATTACCCAAATTCTTAAGCGAGATCAAATTAGTTTAATATGTTTATTATGCACCCCATACCCATCCTGTGGGTCCAAGGACGGGGTCGCAAAGTTTTGATAGTTGAACAAGTTACAGAGGTAATAAACTATTTACATCTTTATATTTGGTCACAATTATAATGAATTATTAATGCAAACATTTATTAGGTCACACACACACACACACCTCTGGATAAAATACTTTGACATATCTTGAACATTTCTGAGTGAGTTGTCTCTGAATTCATTAATTTTATCGCATAATGACGCAGGGTGTGACAGTTTTCCATCTGGCAAAGTTTACATTTCGTCGGTCTTCATCTGGTGGTGGTGATTTAACCTTCCAAAGATACTTGTAACCCAGCCGGAGCCAGGCCTTTAGTGACATCCGAGATTCGGTTTATTTTGTAGGCTGCACAATAGACATGTGGTTCCTCCTGCATGAAAGAATGATGATAGATGGACTGACTGGTGTCAGTCTCTCTCAGTCTTAAGTCAATGAAGTCCAGTTGAAGTTCTTTTCGTACTATTGTTCTCAAACTACTGACAATCCAAGATTGTAATCTACTCCCTCTTTGAAAGTATATAACATAGCAAATTCATCAGTTCTGTCATAAATCTAAAGACCAATGTGAGTTGGAAACCACAGAAGGTGCACCCTGACTCCACTGTCCAGTCCTACCATACCTGGGTCAACACTGTATACTTCTCGCATCACTCTTACGAGTTAATCGTGATGACAGCTTTTTATTAAACAAACTTGGTACACCCGCAGTTTCCGGCTACCCTGTTCTACATGAGTTTCATAGTGGAAAATACCCCAGCTATGTTAAGTAATAGTAGAAGTGGAGGGACTGACGGTCAGGGAAGTGATTCAAGGACCATGGAAATGAGGGTGAGATCAGGGAAGTGGGCCAGAGGCTAGAAGTGAAGTCGAAAGCCAGGGACGTAAATAGAGGACTCAGAGAAGTGATATATCTCTTAACTAGGTAAATCAAGCTTCAATCAATTTTAACAGCTTTCCGGGGATGAGTCAAGAGGTCAGTGACATGAATTTAGGGCCAGGGACATAAACATAGAGAAAACTGTGACGATTTCTATATTAATGCCACAAACTTTCAAGCGTCACAAGACTAAGTTAATTAGGTCATTTTATTATTCAGAACAAAATTACAGAAGCACTGGTCCAAGGACTGGATCCCAACATTGTGTTAGCTTAACAAATTACAGTACTAATGAACTACAAGAACAATAGATTCAGTCACAAAATTAATGGATGAAATCAATAATTACAACAGCGGGTGTTCTAGAGGTACCTAAAATGTTTAGGAACTGGGTATGCTGACTGGGCAAGCTACAGTAATGAGGTATCTACAATATACACGAGGCAGAACACGTCGCTGAATGCATTATACAAGTAAATACATGAGCTGGTGCCAAGGTGTGACTTTCCCGCGCTGGCTCCTCGTCCAGCTACGTGAGCTTTTCATGACCTTAGTCTAAGACTGCCACATATCTTTAGACATCACCTGCAAAAAACATTTTCCTGCATCATCCATTCATTATTGTGTTATGTAAAAATTCAGTTATGCAAATCAGCACATTTCGTGACTTAAAGAAACATTGCTCAATTGATAATTTAACGCTGATTAAATAATATCGAACACAGGGTTACACCTTCAGCCTTTCAAGCTTACGTTAGTGAGGGTGGGAGCTGTGCCCACCCGCAGTCACTGCTTCACAGAGACAGAGTTTGTATCTCATAGCATGTACGGCTGCGTTTCTCCGAGACACTAATGTTCTCTAACGTTCAGTGAATACTATCTTGAAAAAGGGACTTACAGATAACCACTGTGTTAAAGAAATCTTTCAGAAGTAATAATTTATAATTAGGGCTACCACTTCGCCTGCTGGTGACGAGGACGAAGTAGTCAAGTTTTACATCATATTCTCCACAAGACCTTTTTCGTTTAGTTCTATCCCCTTCACCAGTACTCACTGCCGTCAAGTTCACACTCGTCAACGCCAAATTTTCCTGTTATTCGACATCAAGTTACCCGCCATTCGTTGACACAAAATTTCTCTGCTCATCGATACCAAGTTTCCATACTCGTCGAAGCTCAGTCCCTCTACCAACACCAAGTTCCCTAGTCGACACTAGGTGCCCCTTCGAGTTTTTTCCCGTGTACGTCAAGTTGCACCATTGACACCAATTTCCTTCGCGGACGTCGGTCTCCTCCCTGCCCGCCATACCTCCTTCAAAATGCCTGACTCGAGATTCATCGCTCAAGACAATTTTAACCTCAACTGTGCCGGGGAGCCAGACACACTGGAGCCTCACATGGTGAGTGTTCCAGTGACTATCAACACAATATTTCTTGCTTAATACTCCGGCATAGTTCCGGCCCGGGTCTTGTCTATGAGGTGACCCGGCAAACAAATTACTTCCTGAAGATACAACTATAACCATAATTTTTGAAGGGGGGTGGACCGGTAAGCCAGGGAAAGGCCTCGGTCAGATAACCAAAAGCTCCAAAGGCAGGTCATCATCATACTAAGACCCGCGTCAGGAAACATCCTGTTTCCTGACAAACCTTACCCACCTCCTCCCTGAGCTCCTGCATGTACCTTCACCACTCCATTAGGCTTTATAACAGTCATTACTAATTTAAAAAAGGCTTATCTGGAAATATTATAAAAAATAATAGCCCTTTTGCCTTGATGCTGATAAAGGCTACTTGATCCAGTGAATTGGGGCCGCTTTCCTCATCCTCTGGCAATATATACATACATACATACATTATTTTCATTATTATATTCACCAGAAAGCCCTAAACCCGCATGGATCACTGCGACAATTATATAATAAAATCAGACAGCGACCTCGTAGACCATTAACTTCAAAACATTAAAATTTTATCCATTGTTTTCATTTTTTTTGTATACCAGCGTGTTTAGTGTGATTATTGTCACTATTAGTAGGCTATAACTGTGAGTTATTACAGCAGTTATTTTGCTTAGTAGGTTATAACTGAGGGTTGTCGTAGCAGTTTTTATGTTTAGTAGGTAATAACTAAGGTTTATTGTAGCAGTTATGTTTAGTAGGCTATAACTGACTTATTGTAGCAGTTTTCTGTTTAACAGGTTATTACTGGGTAGCAGTTATTGTAGCAGTTATTATGTTTATTGGGTTATAACTGAGTTACTCTAACAGTCATTATGTTTAATAGGTTTTAACTTTGAGTTAGTGTGGCATTCAGTTTTGTTTTTTGCTTTTAGTTGGTTGCTAAGGTTGAAAGTTGGACACACGTGTTGTTGCACGGGTTGTGCAGGTGTGTTAGATTATGCAGGTGTGTCATGTTATGCAGGTGTGTCATGTTATGCAGGTGTGTCATGTTATGCAGGTGTGTCATGTTATGCAGATGTGTCATGTTATGCAGGTGTGTCATGTTATGCAGGTGTGTCATGTTATGCAGGTGTGTCATGTTATGCAGGTGTGTCATGTTATGCAGGTGTGTCATGTTATGCAGGTGTGTCATGTTATGCAGGTGTGTCATGTTATGCAGGTGTCATGTTATGCAGGTGTGTCATGTTATGCAGGTGTGTCATGTTATGCAGGTGTGTCATGTTATGCAGGTGTGTCATGTTATGCAGGTGTGTCATGTTATGCAGGTGTGTCATGTTATGCAGGTGTGTCATGTTATGCAGATGTGTCATGTTATGCAGGTGCTCTCACCTACTGGTACTCTCATACTTGTAACTTCAGAGATCAAGCTACAGCTCCTAACCACACTTCTTAAACTGGCCGCTACTGGGTTCACTCTCTCTCTATTATACCTCTTCTTAAAATTCAGTTAGTTATGCCGCCTGAGCGGCTAGTTTATTGTGCACCCCAATGCTCATCCTATGAGCGGTAAGGCAAAAAAAAAAATCAGGATTAGAGGTCACAATGGGTCTCTCTCAAACCCCGCTGAGCACTGTTACATCACTAGAAAGGAATATTAGTCATTTCGTAATTTACAGTTACTTCGTGAAGTTGTACATAGTACAGAATGCAATACAATCTCAGAAAATTGGGTTTGTATTCCTTAATGTACTGTGTACAACACCGAACCCAACTTGTCATACTTGCCCAATCATTCTTGGCTGTCTTCTTGTTCATTCATTATAGTGTTCCATGTTATTCCCTCCTGTTACTGCAGTTTTTGTCCGTCTCTTGTGCGAGACTGTCAAACATTTTCTTTCGGCCAAAGAATATTCACTCCATCCCTGTCTCTCTCTCTCCTTTCTCATTTCCTTATCATTATAACAAAATTAAAGCAGGTTTGTAAGATAGGATTTACCCTCTAAAACTTTGTTCGTTGTTGTTTATGAAACATCTCTTTCCAGGTGCTTCATTACTCTTCCCTTTTCTGATTATCTTTATTAACTTAAGCAGTATGCATGTCAATGACACTAATCTGCATTTTAATGCTACCTGTCTGTCCCCTTTCTTAAATACTGGGGGCTATATTTGTTGTCTTCCTCACCTCTGGCAGCTGTCCTGTATCAAAGTGATTTGTAGGCTTCTGTTAGCGGTGCATACAGTACTTCTCCCTCTTTCAGAACCCACTGAGAGATATTGTGTGGTCCCATTGCCTTCGAGATATCTCTCTCAGTAGTGTTTCCTTTAATGTTATACTGGTGTGTACTATATTGAAATATAACAATGGTTATAAATAACCATAATTTTTAAAGGGGTGGACCGGTAAGCCAGCGGAAGACCTCGGTCAGATGACCAAAAGCTCCAAAGGCGGGTCATCATCTGACCAAGACCCGTGTCAGGAAACACTTGTCCTGTTTCCTGACGAACCTTACCTAACCTAACCTGTACTATATTATAAAGATGTCATGGTGTGTGCCGTGTTGTATTGTATTATGTTGTGACAGTGTGTACGTCACGTTATGAAGGCGCGCGCGCGCGCGCGCGCGCGCGCGTGTGTGTGTGTGTGTGTGTGTGTGTGTGTGTGTGTGTGTGTATACTCACCTAGTTGTGGTTGTAGGGGTCGATTCATAGCTCCTGGTCCCGCCTCTTCACTGGCTGATGCAGGGTCACTCTCCCTGCACCCCTGCACCATGAGCTTTATCATACCTCTGCTTAAAGCTATGAATGGATCCTGCCTCCACTATATCGTGTGTGTGTGTACTCACCTAATTGTACTCACATAATTGTGGGACACAGCTCCTGGCCCCGCCTCTTCACTGACCGCTACTGCGTCCTCTCCCTGCTCCATGAGCTTTATCATACCTCGTCTTAAAACTATGTATGGTTCCTGTCTCCACTACATCGCTTGCCAGACTATTCCACTTCCAAACAACTCTGTGACTGAATAAATACTTCCTAACATCCCTTTGACTCATCTAAGTCTTTAGCTTCCAATTGTGACCCCTTGTTTCTGTGTCCCATCTCTGGAACATCCTGTCTCTGTCCACCTTGTCCATTCCACGCAGTATTTTGTATGTCGATATCATGTCTCCCCTGACTCCTCCTGTCCTGCAGTGTCGTCAGACCGATTTCCCTTAGCCTTTCTGTGTGTGTGTGTGTGTGTGTGTGTGTACTCACCTGATTGTACTCACCTAATTGTGGTTGCAGGGGTTGAGACTCAGCTCCTGGCCCCGCCTCTTCACCGAGTGCTACTAGGTCCTCTCTCTCCCTGCTCCATGAGCTTTATCATACCTCACCTTACAGCTGTGTATGGTTCCTGCCTCCACTGCCTCACTTTCTAGGCTATTCCACTTCCTGACGACTCTATGACCGAAGAAATACTTCCTAACATCCCTTTGACTCATCTGGGTCTTCAACTTCCAATTGTGACCCCTTGTTTCTGTGTCCCCTCTCTGGAACATCCTGTCTCTGTCCACCTTGTCTATTCCACGCAGTATTTTGTATGTCGTTATCATGTCTCCCCTAACCCTCCTGTCCTCCAGTGTCATCAGGCCAATTTCCCTTAACCTTTCTTCATAGGACATTTCCCTTAGCTCTGGAACTAACCTTGTCGCAAACCTTTACACTTTATCTAATTTCTTGACGTGCTTGATCAAGTGTGGGTTCCAAACAGGTGCTACATACTCCAGTGTGGGTCTGACGTACACGGTGTACAGCGTCTTGAACGATTCCTTACTAACGTATCGGAACGCTGTTCTCAGGTTTACCAGGCACCCACATACTGCAGCAGTTATCTGGTTGATGTGGGCTTCCGGAGACGTGCTCGGTGTTATACTCACCCCAAGATCTTTCTCCTTGAGCGAGGTTTGCTGTCTTTGGCCACCTAGCCTATACTCCGTCTGCGGTCTTCTTTGCCCTTCCCCGATCTTCATGACTTTGCATTTGGCGGGGTTAAATTCGAGAAGCCAGTTGCTGGACCAGGTGTCCAGTCTGTCCGGTCTCTTTGAAGTCCTGCCTGATCCTCATCTGATTTAATTCTCCTTATTAACTTCACATCATCTGCGAACAGGGACACTTCTGAGTCTAACCCTTCCATCATATCATTCACATATACCCAAAATAGTACTGGTCTTAGGACCGACCCCTGTGGGACCCCGCTCGTCACAGGTGCTCACTGTGATACCTCATCACGTACCATGACTCGTTGTTGCCTCCCTTTCAGGTATTCTCTAATCCATTGCAGTGCCCTTCCTGTTATACGCGCCTGATCCATTAGCTTCTGCACTAATCTCTTGTGAGGAACTGTGTCAAAGGCCTTGCAGTCCAAGAAGATGCAATCAACCCACCCCTCTCTCTCGTGTCTTACTTCTGTTACTTTATCATAAAACTCCAGAAGGTTTGTGACACAGGATTTGCCTTCCATAAATCTGTGCTGGTTGGCATTTATACTCTTGTTCCATTCCAGGTGCTCCACCACTCTCCTCCTGATAATCTTCTCCATGACTTTGCATACTATACACGTCAGTGACACTGGCTTATAGTTTAGTGCCTCTTTGCTGTCTCCTTTTTTTTTAAAAATGGGAACTACATTTGCCGTCTTCCATACCTCAGGTAGTTGCCCAGTTTCAAGGGATGTGTTGAAGATTGTGGTTAGTGGCACACACAGCATATCCGCTCCCTCTCTAAGGACCCACGGGGAGATGTTGTCCGGTCCCATTGCCTTTGAGGTATTAGTGTGTGTGTGTATGTGTGTGTGTGATGTTATGTTGACCATTCAGGCTGTTGAGCAACGTCTTCCGAGAATATATGAAAATCGCCCCCTCTAGCGTCGGCAGAAAAAAAAGTTTATGAGCCCATGTCAACAAAGGAGCTCATGTGTTTACATTCTCTATTCCAGTTTAACTTGGCATCCTTATTTA